AATATGCAGACATAAGAAAACTTGTATAACTAATAATAATAATTTAAGCACCGACACCAACCCCATCTTACAACGCATGCAATATTAATGCAGCTCTTCAATCGGAGTTTGCGAAGCAATTTAACAAACGCAAACAATTCGTATACTTTACATAAATAGGCCATGAGCAGTGGCTTTGTTTCGATCATAGACACTATCGAACCTCGTCAAATATCGTCTTATAACATGGAGCGATTTCGACTCCGATGGCGTTCCTATTTGCGTATTAAAAAGTCACTACTAGCTTATCACAGAAATTACTCATTGCAAATTAGCAGTTAGAAAGTGCCTCTCGTTTCTTAGGATCTCGATCGAACGAAAAACACGGTTAAAAATTAAATGCATCCGTAGACTGAACACAAACAAGACCTGGGAAGCTAACACTTGTTACGAACAAGTTGAAATGCAAATGATCTTTTACTGCACTGTTTTAGCCATGAATTCCCAACACTTTTAGCGACGTTTAGCGTCGAATACGTCGAACCAGCGACAAGCCTATAAACACTTATATTGAACTTGTTCACGACATCAAGGGCTCGCTACTCCATTAGGGCCAACACTTTAAATTCCGTGACCAACTTTCGAAATGCAAGCTGGAGGGGTTTTCAACCGCGGACAACTCGACGAATCTGACCTCAGAATTTCCATCTCAATTTAAATATTAAAGAATAATGGATTACCTTGCGATCGAGTTCCTTATGTCTTGTGTAGCTTCCTTTCCGTATTCTTTCCTTCCTTAAAATCACTTATTGAAGAAGCCGATCGCCTCTCATATTTGTTGTATGTGCGGGGACAATGATCACTGGGTTTGGGTACGTGCTATGACGAAATCACCGTAAACCAAAATACGACCAACCCGCATGCGTGCGTGACTAGGCAAGCTATTTGCATAAACACTTTACAACATTTGAGACGTTCAACCGCACATCTGTAAAATAATGTAATTGCGGTCAAAATTAACTTCAGTTTTTTTGAATTGATGGTGAGAACTAGAGGACAAAGATTCAACCATCGTATTGAACTCGTAAATAATTTTGTGTAAATTTCAATTTCCTCAAATTGTATTCAATTAAAATTCCGTCCCTTCCCACTCTGCACTGCAACGTCGACGCAAAAAAGAGGAAGTAATCAACGGCAAAGGTACACTGCTCCCAGAGGTTTTCTTTTCCATTTTCCCGCTCAAGCGAAAACGCTGTCACATGCCGGTCAAAGCGCGCGTCGATAATATAAATCACAGAGCTTTACAGGTCTCTCGATCTTCGATTTTCAACGATTTCCGGTTAAAATCGATCAATTATTCTCGAATGCTCTCTATTTCGATTATCGATTGGGAACACGGGGCATCCAACAAGAAAAGCCCATATTGGTTGACTGGATATCCTGCGGCGTTCTTCCTCTGTCACACACATCCAAGCCACCGCGCTGCGTGACCTGGAACGGAAAAAAACATACTATGTTCGTTATCAACAGTGCGTTGTGTGACACCTATTGATAGCTGTTTCCCTTCCAACGATTCCGATTTTTGTTTTAATAAGCCGCACCACACATAATAGGTTGTGTGTCCCCCAGAACACAAGACTAATTTTCAGATCTTGTCACGTTATGACGTTTGAAATTTCGCATTACGTAATGGACAATCACACGTGACAATATGAATAATGTGCGAGCTGTCTGCTTTCAATAGAGCTGAAGAAGTAGAGAACGATTTCAACAGCTGAGGCAACTGCGATCGCATTTAACTGATCCCACGGCGAATTCAGGTAAGCAGTTTCTTTTCGACATACGAACCGCAAAGATCGACATCTGGTTATTTCTTTCTACATTCAAATATTGCATGAGCTTGGTTAGACGATGATTATTTTATCGGCAATTATTATTACCATTGTAAGGTAACGGTTTGCTCGTGTCCGTGTGATATGGCGAAGCAGAATGTCTGGCCCTATACCCACTTAGGGTTATGGTCAAAATCAATCAATCAACTAAGGTAACGGTTTGACACTGACTATTTTTTGATGTTTCGTTCAAGACTTTTCGGGTGGTGCTTGAGCCTTCTTCAGTTGAAATTTTAACGTTATTAACGTTATTAACCAAAAATGTATGAAATCCTTCATCGAGCCAAATTTTGCTCGTTAGAGACTAAGAATGGTCAATTGGACCGATCTATGGCGAAAAAGAAAGTTTTGGAGAAAATGTGTGCATTTCTTTAACGTAGAGCTCGGAAATGATACCACTGGGCTACAGGAGGACTCCTTGAATTGGGTAATAAATTTAACGGTACCTATATACACATGAAGAGTCTTTTTGAAATCCC